ATTCTCTTCAACAACACGTGAATCAATGTTAATGTCCTAAGTTGACTTGACTTGCTGTATCTTCTCTTATTGCCTTCCTCCTGACTACATCTGTGAGTCAACTAAACATGCTCTAGCTTCTCAACTTTAGCAGAAATAAGCTAAGATGCCTAGAGCATTTCCTGGGCTTGCCATCAGTCTTAACATCATTTAAAGCTCCCCTCAAATCTAGTCTTTTCCTGACTGATCTGAATAAGGCATTTGGCCATTCCCACAGGTCCAGCTCTAAGTTTGTGTGTTTGGATGTGGGTGGTGGAGGGAAGCAATCAAATTTAGGTCTGGAGAGTACTTCCAGCAGTACCTTTAAACATTGCCCACCATAGTACTGGGGTTTTGTGGCGGTGCTTCTGGAACCATGTTAGGGGACAGAGGTGGAGAGGAAGGAAGAGTGTTTGAAAGGAGAGGTGGCAATAGAGAGGCTTTACTTCTGTTTATCAGATAGTCTGTTGGTTGGGACAAAGTTGGGGATGGGGTCCCATGGCTAATAACAGATAGGAAATGATTGCAGTATTTCTAAAAGTAAAAAACAGGTTCTAATAGAGCTTTGGAGAGATGCAGAATCAGGGAAAGACGTTCTATGAGTAAGGTGGGCAAAAGCATTTCTTTAAGAAAAATTGGGAGGATTATTATATGGCAAACCTGGCATATGCTCTAAAAGGCAGCTCACTGTTTTTTTCTGACTCTTTTCTCTCTTTCTCTCCTTACCTCAGGATCTTTTCTCTTCTCATTAGCACCTCCACCAGGGCTGGAGCTGGGGAAGAGAAAGGAAGTGTTCAGACATGTGCCTATTTGCATAGTCACTACATTGAGTTAGCGCCAGGACAGCGCAAACATTCTGTCCATTTCTATAGAAAAGCAAGTTTCACCCCATCAGTAAGGTATTTTTTTCTTTTTTAGCATAGAACAGTTTATTGCCAGGCTTCTCTTAACTGTACATTACAAATAGCGTCTGATTAAGAATGTTCTGGATGGGTTAATTAGTGTGGTGACTATTATTAAGCAAACTGCTTGTTAGTATTATGCCTATTTGATCTTGGTATTGATGTGAAGTAATTGACCATAGAGCTACATTTAGAAAAGCCGGAATAAAGTTTTTTGATTTCTATTATGGCAATAAATTGTTTATATTAAACCTGTCTATGAAAATATGAGCTTCATGGCACAGAGTATCAGAATAGACTCTGTGTGGGATGGTGGATGGAGGATTGTTTTGTTTTGTTTTGTTTTTTAGAAATATTAATACATTTGTCCAGCTTGCCTCAAGACCAGCTCTGCTGAAACAAAGTAGTAAAAAATTACTTCAGCTTACCGCTGCAGAGTATATGAAATCTAAAGTGATTTTAACTTCCCTTACCTAAAGGACCTATTTTATTTTAGATTCAACTAATTGCCTAAATACTTCTTTGGATAACAATCACTATATATAAATAGACTATTAAAGAAAAATATGAGAAGATATTATAAACAAGGAAAGCATAGCATGTAACCACCTTCTATCAAGTAGTGGATTATTATCTATATTATTTATTGGTATTTTGTCCAGTTCTATTATTTAAGTTTCCCTAGCTATAGCATTTCCATGGGGAATTTATTCCATGAGCTAATAAATTATACTATCAGGGAGTTTTTCTCGAAATTCAACTTAAATTTTCCCATTCTCAATTTCATCTCATTACCCCAATTATACCCCCTTGTACCAGGCTAAATAATTATTCTCTTTCCTTGGAGACTCCTATTATGGACCCCTCTAGTTGTCACTTAACCAGGCTGTTCATATTTAGCTCCTTTAATCTGTTCTCATAAATCAGTTCTTCCATTGCCTTAATCATTATTATTGCTCTTCAAGGAACTCTCTAATTTTCAAACGTATACAGTTATCAGGTGCCCCAGATGAAATCAGTGTTTGCAGTCTTCTGTCCCCACAGACTTGGTATCTTCCTTTCCTATACAACATGATCCGTGACAAAGTGGCGTCAGTTTGCTGGGTCAAATCAGCACAGGCTCCTCTTGCCAAACTGCAGACAATGTAAATAGTGTTTTCCATGGGTCCTACTTACATTCAGATTTATTCTTATTTTTTCAATTTCAAAATATTAATCAGCTGAGTTTCTGGTTACTGTCCATATTTCTATTCTGCATCTTTCCATGTCCTTAATCACCACCACCTATCAAGTCAGTCATCTGCAACCTGTGCTAACATGGGATTCTATTCATCCTGGAGAACATTTAGGAACCGTGTTTAATAAAAGTAGGCCTAGCACCTTGCCCACAGCTAAATTCCTTGTCAGTTACCAATTCCCATTGTTTACAACCCTTTAGCCAATCTCTTGTCTCTTTTAATTTGCAATTTTGCTCACATGCTGGCCAATATAAATGGATTTTATGAGTAAGATGGGTCGTGATACTGTTTTCTAAAATGAAGATATGTTGTTTCAATGCCCATTTTTTTTTTTTTTTTTTTTTATTGTGTATCCTTCGCGCACTAAGTTTGTAATTCTGTTAAAATCCTACTTAAGCTTGCCTGGCATTCTTTATCTGACATACACAAATAGGTAATTTTGCTTGCTTTATTGTTGTTTTCCAGATATGTACAGATGTTCCTTCTCTTACCATTTGTTCCGTTTGTTTAGGAGAAGTTGAAGATCTTGTCTTGGTCATTTTTTTTTTTTACCTTTATAGTGATCAATGGAAACTTTCTTTATTGATTTTTGGTTCTTTAGAATCTCCTCAGTATTTTGAATTTGTTTCAGGAAGAAAGTTGGTTAGTTCCCTGAAATATTTTGAACCTGTGGGATCTGACACTATAATCTTTATATGCCCATGTTTCTTTCCATTTTAAATTAAGAATTAATGTGTTATTATATTAGGGCATACTGAGGGGGTTAGCACCATTCTTGGTGTTTTGTCTGTCTACATAGAGTCATCTACTTATTATTTGGGGGGAGTGGGGGGAGGGGCAGGCACTGTGCTTATATAGTCAGGTGATTTTTCTCAAAGGGCTTTATGAAACAAGCACAGAAGCCCCAAAGCAAGCTTTTTGATTCTGGAAGGTACACAGCATACTACAGCCAGACTTTGATTCCAGCTCACAGTAGAACCCCCACTGTTCCTTAGTGTGGCTCATCAGCCCTCACTTTCAAAAGGAGTCAACAGAGCCCTCTCCCCCTCTCTATAGTGACTGTTCTGCTTCCACAGCTCACTTCTTAAACTCCATCCCCACCTCTACTCACCTCTCTTGAAATAGATAGCCTCATATAATGTTTTAGTGACACACCTTAGATTCCACTCCTGCCACCTGAAACTGTTTTTCAACTCCATTTTTCTCTCCTTCTTCTCTCAGCTTTGTAAGAAAGCTCGGTTTATTCTCTTTTATAAAGCCCTACTTTCCCCCCACACCAAGAATCCTGCACTTATCACACTTTATGTTGTTTTTCTATTTCCATCTTGTAAGACTTTTCTGTTTCTTCAGGATCCTGCTCCCTTCCCTAGCAAGCATCCCCAAGTGAAGACCCCTATGTACACATGCCCCATTAAAAGAAGTCGGACCCTGTCTTCCCCGCTCTTCTCCTCTCTAACGTCTTTCTCTGCCTGTCTCTCTCTCTCTCTTTCGTGCACATACCCTGACCTGCACTCTGGTGTCTGCCTGCCCCACTCCACAGGAGCTACCCTCGTGAGTAGCCAGTGATCTACCATGTCATAAGGCCAAAAGCTCCCGGTTGTTGGTGGTGGTGTAGCTCCTTGGCAGTGTTTTCCACCTCTTTTTTACACATTTTTAAGGGCTCTGGATTCTTTTTTTTACACATTCTTTTGGTTCTTAATTCACTTCAATAGTGTTATTACTCTCTCAGATTCTCTTTCTACCCTTCCAAATGTTTCTTATTGCTCTTCTTTCATGATTCTTCTTCCTCACCTACCTCTTAAATGCATGTACCGTCCATTTCTTCACTTACTTCTCTACAATCCAAGGAAGGGGCAGAGTCTCTGGATGGGCCTCAAGGACTCTGAGAAAGCACTTGTTGTCTGACCTCAGATCCCAGGACCTGGCCCCAGCCTCTTTGGGCTGCATATTATTCCCTGAAGAGTTCGTATTCTCTCACACCCTTTGATCACACTATTGCCTCAGTCCAGAACTTCCCTCTCTGCATTTCGAAGTCCTTCAACTAAAACCCTCTTTAAGCCTTTACTGATCCCCAAGTCAGAATTAATCTCTAGTTCTCAGTTTTAAAAGTTGGAATGTCCATTGTTTATATACTATGTCCTACCACACAGGTTAGTTGGTTGTTCTCCTGTCTGTCTCTCACTCTGTCTTTTCTAAGCACTACCAACTGGCTCTCCAGTAGAGGGTGAACTCCTTGATTTCATTTTATGTAGATACTTCTATCAATAAATAACAGATATAGAACTCTGTATGACAAAGCATTATGGGAGGATAGGGGAGAGATGATAATGAAAAAAATATAAAAATATACTTCAAGAAATATTAGTAAGGTCAATTAATAAAAAGTATTTGCAGATGCCCAGGAATACAGAACGGTCATATAAGCAGAAATATCCAGTGTTAATCAAGGAAGTTTCAAGCATTTTTGTAGGTTAATGAACAAGTGTGTCTTGAAAATAAGCACTGGGCCACATGGTAACTAGAAAACGCAAAATGGATCTCCAGAAAGATGAGTGAAGGAGGAGTGGTAAACCATCACTCTACTCTTATTGTTTATGGTATTATGTAGGTTTTGCAGCCACAGAAACTCTTTGGAAACCATTCAAAGACAATCTGGTCTAATTTCAAAGTTTTGAACCTTTTCTTGATGGCTGCTGCATTTTGCACTTTTTCTAGAATTTTTGTTATATCTTTATTTTTTCTCAGTTTTATACATCATCACGATGTCCTTACAGAAAGGTAAAGGACAAATTTTAAATAGTATTTTCACTAAAAGTGTATTTCATTTCCTTTTTTGTAACAG